TAGGGTCGCCAGCAACTACTAGAGGATCTTTTGTCGCACCCGCCATGGATGTGCTTGAGTATTCCCACAGACGGCGCCAATTGTGGGGAAATGGTTTTGGAAATACTCTTTTGATCCACTGGGCCGCTCGAGATCCTCAGCTAACAACCTAAAAAGGAATAAGCACTCTGACGGGTAAGTCAGTATGTACTCTCTTAATTGCTTGTATCTTAAGTTAAGTGTACTCATTCTCACATACCTCTTTCTAGCTGATATTCTTCTATTTATATCTTTTCTTTCTTGGGCCTCGGGGCTGGGCCCACTTTCAATTCGCCGTATAACTATTTTATCGACTCTTTTTGTTGCAAACCGCTTTCCACTCGGTCCCTTACTCACCCGACTATTTGGCCGAATAGGGTAGGATTTAAATGTGTAAGATGGGGCCGAATGCGATGTATATATTTCGACTCTCCATGTCCAATTATTCGACCTCTTTACGTCTCCCAATATTCGGCCCCCACAAGACACAATTGATTTATTAAAATATTTAGTTTGACTTAGTGTTGGTTATAATATATTTTTAATATATTATACCTAACTTTTGGAGGCCCAATGGGTATTTAATAATATGTTTGGTAACAGCTAAGATTTTGTTAAAAAGCCCAAGATTAAATAATATATTGATATATATATATATATATATATTGTTTTCTTCCGAAGAGGGTAGTAGCAGATTCAATTATTTAGTGAGTTTGGCTTTGTGGTGGTGCAGTAGCTTTTCAATATACATCTTGCTCAGTTGGTAAACTAGCTTGCTGCATAAGTTCAATTGGTGGATTTCATTGGAATCCGGATCCTCGGCCGCCCTTCTCGGCGGCCGTTCCCAGTAGCCCCCCAAAACGACGTCGTTTTGGGGGGCTACTGGGAACGGCCGCCGAGAAGGGCGGCCGAGGATCCGGATTCCAATGAAATCCACCAATTGAACTTATGCAGCAAGCTAGTTTACCAACTGAGCAAGATGTATATTGAAAAGCTACTGCACCACCACAAAGCCAAACTCACTAAATAATTGAATCTGCTACTACCCTCTTCGGAAGAAAACAATATATATATATATATATATATCCTCCGCCTCCTCCTCCTCCTCCTCCTCCTCCTCCTCCCCCGGTGATTATGGCCCCCTCCAGTCCGGCCCACCGGCGGCTCCCTCTTCTTCTCCCTTCCTCTCTCTCTTCTTCCCTTCCCCTCCCCTCCCCTCCCCTCTGGTTCTGTTCGAACGAAGAAGAAAGAAAAAAAAAAAAAACCAAAAAAAACCCCAAAACGACGTCGTTTTGGGGGCTGTTGGGAACGGCTGCCAGGTAGGGCGGCCGAGAATCCGGACTCGGTTTCATTGTTGCTGTGCATCTTCGGCTGGTTTGATTGGAAGTTGATTTGCATCTATTATTTTAGGTCTTCTACAATCTATTTCGAAAACTTTTGTTCGTCTATTTAGTAAGGTCTTTTCTCTTATTTATTTGTGATTATTTGGAATTCACCTAAGGGTGATTTGTGAGACCATTCGTGTCTCGTTTATAATCGTTTGGAAACTTTTTAGTTGATAGTGGAATCGGATTTCGATATCGTGGACGTATCTCACATTGATATTGATTTAATTTTTCCGTATTAGTTTTTATTCCCATTGATTGATTTACTTGTGGGGAATCATATATTTTCCCTAACAATTAATAATGAAGACATTAATAATTATATCAAATTAGTATGGTATTCACTATCCAATTGGATTAGTAGGATAAATTATCCCCTTATCCATTGTTTGATTTGCATTGGATAAGAAAACTTATGAATGTAGGATTACAACTATATTTATCTTCTTTTATAATCTTACTCTCCATCGATGTTTCTTCACAATCTTTACTTTATCAAAATTTCTTCATAAACGTAGTTTTGAAAAAAATTATAAATAAATAAATAAAAGCAAAATAAAAATACAAAGGCCATGTTTGGTTTTTTTTTAAAAAAAAAATATAAACTAATTTGATAAAATAAATATCAAAAAATATTTTTAAATTTTTAAAAATTATTTTTAACCTTCTAAAATATAAAATTATATAAAAATAATAAGTGTTTTAATTTTTAGTTAAGGAGAAAAAAGTCTTTTTAGGCCAAGTTTGGGAAGACTAAAAAAGTGCACTTTTTGTCTTTTTGGACTAAAAAATTGAGGTTGAAAATATGGATGTTTGGGTTAACTTTTTGACTTTTTATTGAAAAATGTGTAATAAAAAATTGTAAAAATTGATTTGTAGGAAAAAATTTGAATTGGGAGTTGTGCAGCCGTAATTGTTGACTTTTGGTGAATAGTGTTAACTTTTTAGCTTTTTGAGTAACTTTTTGACTTTTTGGCTTTTTTGGATCTTGCCAAACTTGGCCTTATTTTATTTTTCAGTTCAGGATATGGGTTGTTTGGGATGTCCTAAGTGTACTCTTTGTCTTTTTGAACTAAAAAATTGAGGAAGAAAATATAGATGTTTGGGTTAACTTTTTGACCTTTTTATGAAAAAATGTGTAATAAAAAATTGTAAAAATTAGTTTGTAAGAGAAAATTAGAATTGGGAGTTGTGCAGCCGTAATTGTTGACTTTTGGTGAATAGTGTTAACTTTTTAACTTTTTGAGTAACTTTTTGACTTTTTGACTTATTCTGGACTTGCCAAACTTGGCCATAATCTCACATCTACTCCATTACTAATAATCCTACAAATTTGTTGGATTAATTATCCATTGGATTAACAATTATGAAACAAAATTTCAAAACAAACACAGGATTATTGGGCTCACAGATTAATAATTTCAATCTCATACTCTAATCTTGTCAATCAAACATACGCTTAAGATCTCATCCATCACCAAAATATTTGACTGTAATTCTTCAATTCAATGTGATTTTTCATTTATTATGGTGTCCCATTATTTTTTCAATTTGCTAAATTCTACATGTACACAGCAATTTATTATGTGAAAATAGATAATATGAAATTATAAAATATAGCATTTTTTTTTTTTATCAGCAAAAAGAAGTTTTATTGATAAAAAAAGCATACAAAGTATAATAAGGTACATCAATAAAATATAGCTTGTTGACAAATACTATTTTTAAACCGAACAATGTTATAAATACGCTTCTTTTTATACTCAGACACACACTCATAAAGTGAGTGAGTGTGGACTCTACACGCATCTACGTAGAACCCCTATGTACGAAGAATTATCCTATTTTTCAAGAATTCTAACTAGGTTGTGTATTCTTCAAATTCTATTAGTTGTTTTATGTAGTATATAGAAGAAAAAATAAAAAATAATATGTATGCAACCAATAAAATTACAAGGATATATCACGTAGGATATGAAGAGGACTTATATGATAATTTTTCCCCACGTACATATCTATAAATGTGTGCTTGAGTGTAAAAAGAAGTGTTATTACTTTTATTCAATCCTCCTACATCCTACAAGACTAGGACTAAAATACATCAATTTTCTCTACAAGTGTTATACCTCAGTAGAAGCTCAAGATTTTTGAAAGTCTCAGATTAATCATCAAAATGAGATTTTATCTATCTAAGTCTTTGAAAAGTTGGGACAATTGACAATAATATTTTTTTAAAATTTTCTTGTGAGTTTTTAGGCAACACCCTAAATGATTTAATGGTTTAGCCACCTCTACTCTACTCTGATTGATGGATAATCATCACCTTTAATAATTCTATCTATGATATCAAAGTAGAACTAAAGTGAAGAATCGGTGGCCATAGTCGTGTATATATACTGACTGGTTGGAGTAGTCAATAACTATCATAATGATGGTAATTAAGCTTTGATTTTAATGATGCTTAATGTGGTAAGATTACAACAATCACAAACAAAGATTTTGAATTCAAACCTACCTAAAGAAGGAAGCATCGATCTCAAGAGACAGACAGATGATGAAGGCATTGGCTAAACCATATGAACATGACAATCGACATTTTTTCATTCCTCATAATTTTTATTTTATTAAATAAATGGCTTTGTCGAAATGCACCCATCTTGTTGACCGAGCAACTAGGACCACGTATTCTTTTTCACAGTGGCTAGATCGATTTAAGCAAATCACCTTCTTCTTCTTCTTGTTTTGTTGTTGTTGTTGTTGTTGTTGGATATCTTATATACTTAAAAAATAAAATAAAATATTGCTGTAAAATATAAATTTAAACTTGGTGTGAACTACACTCATGATAAATCTGATTCATTCATTTTAAATTTTAAAAAAAAATCTGTATATCTTTTAATTATATAAACATTATTGTTTTTATAATAAAAATAAATAAATAAATAAAAAGAAGAGTAGGAGGTAGTGACTAGCATATAATAACTCTTTTTAGACGTAATTTTCATGACTGTAACTTACTGAAAAGTCAAATAAAGGAGAATTAGATGAATCCACTAATACAAAGATACCGCATATTAAGAATTTACCGTTCCTCTCTCAAGCAAGAATTGAGAGCTTGAATCATAATATGACATAAAAAAATTTAACCTGAATTGGGTAGGTGATTTAGACACAAAACCAATTGCTGGACCAAGGTTAGAGATAGCGGAGTGAGGGTATTGGGTTACTTTAGTAGGTAGACCTAATTAGACCAATCCACAAAACCAACTTTAGTAGACCGAATGGAATTATGACTCTGGATCTAGTAAATTTAACGTTAACCTCATTACCAGATTAGATTATAATAGTGGTGGATTAAGTAATAATGACAAGCATTTATATGTTACGATAATTTTTTTTTACTAATGATTATAAACAAATATTATATGTGACTACATATTTTTTGTCATCCTTTATATATATTCATAAATATTGATTACTTGTTTTAAAATTATTATTTAAAAAACTGAAAAGTAAATAATATTTTGTTGTGCCTCGGTAATAAAATAGAAACGAATAACAAAAAACAAAACAAAACAAAACAAAACAGAACTCAAGTACAAGAATATGCATTTTCATAAATTCACACCATAACTTTTACATGAATTTCTTCAAACTGAAGTACTTTTACATGAATTTCTCCTAACGAGTACAAATCATTTCTCACTTGTAGCATAAATGAAAACACATGGGGGAAGCACTCTAGGAACAAAAAAATGCCCCCCTCGAAATTAATGACTTACAAACACCCTTCAACTTCTATATGACTTTAATATACAAAAGACTTGTTCTCTATCATGTCTATGTCCTCTACATTCTACGTACCTGCTGACATCAGAGCATGATCAAATTTGAGTCGATAGAGAGATAAAATTTCTATTCCCAGAATAAATTTAGATCACTCGTTGATTTTTCTATGCATTGTTCTGTATTTATTTTCTTTTACCGTGCACAGAGTATTAGTGACATTATTCGTTAACATGACGAAGTTTTGTCACTGCACATAAGAGTCTTGAAGAGGTCGAGACGACAGTCTCCCAAACGTAGAGAATAGAAAGTTTTCTTGAATTCACTCCAAGTGAAATGCTTGTAGAGACTTGGTTTTTGGGGTGATACCAACTCTGGAATCGGAGAGATGTAGGCATCAAGGGGTGGAGCCCCAAAATATATTGTTGACATTCTGGGTTTGATTGTGTTTGTCACAAGTACTCTGTGGCTTGCGCTCACAAACCTTCCATTTGTCATAGCCTTCATTTGCCAATATCAATTAATTAGACCATATCAGCTACAATAATCTTTCATTTGCTTTAGACAAAACTTTAGACTTGCCAAACTTATAATGTGAGAAAATTAGGAGAAATTATTTGCTAATCCTCGATCATAATGTCAGTTTTGATTCTATATTACTTTTATTTAACTATATATAGAAAAGAAATGAGACAACATGCCCTATTTTCTTTTTGGAAAATGCCCAAACCCCCACCACCCTCACTGATTTTTGATTGGTTCAAAATTTTATTTTATTTTATTTTTTTTTTCAGTCTTGCTCTCACAGCAAGACATGTGGAGCTAGGGGTCCCCAGCACAGATGGCCAATTATTAGTAAATGGGGCTAAACTGACACAATGGCCCACATTATTGAATAATGATTCCATATTTAAGAAATGAAAATGTGAGTGCCTTCTCCCTAATTGGACAAGATGTCTTAGTAATTCAAATTTTGTGAGAAAAGTTATGAATTTCACTAAAGTGATTCCTACTGTGAGGCCATAATTTCTCTAAAAAACTGAACTAGACATTGAGTCCAAGTAGGGAGTAGCACATAAAAAAATGAGAAGAAGTTGATTTCATGAAAATAACATCACTAACCTTTAAAGCATCACCCACGAACACACAAAATACATTAGGATCAGGAAGGACTGGAACCCACAACCCATCATCTAAACAAATTTGAAGGCCTCCAACATCATTTGATCGCAAGATAGTCAAGATTTGAGGGTCAGTATGCTCTCCAAATCCCATACGCGTGTCTGGATTAAGTTTTGGAGATAATTCTAGCTCCCTAAAATGCTTGAGAGGAGGGTAGTAATTGAGCCTAAAACAAGAGTCATTATGGGCATCTCTGATGAGCTTACTGAAAACAGAATTGTCTGGAACCCACAAGCCTTCAGCTATTAGATCTAAAATTTCACATGAGAGGTCCCTAACGGCTTGTATATAATCATTCACAACATAGCTGCAAAAATACAAATATAGTAAGAAAATTGTACCAAAAGAAGAATATATCATAATTGTAATGACCACTAGGTGTTTAAAAAAAAATTGATTAGCAAAGAAAAGGTTTTATTGATAATGATAAAAGAAAGTAGGGACTAGGTGTTAAAATTCTTTAGAGTAATACTAGAAATTCATACATTTATATTTACAATGATGTGGTATAGGAGTTAAACTCACTATCATTAAGTGTATGACAAATAATGACAAATTAAAAATTGACACATACCATATCACATCATTTTGATTATTTTTTAAGGTCTCGAACATCTTTCAATTCTTTATTTGAAAAGAAAGTACACGGCAGGCATATATAGGACCCCTTCCCTCTTCCAAATTTGGTATGTACTGTGCTCCCTTTCCCTTTTTTTCTATTTATTTCTGTGGACTCATTAATTTTGTTTTTGACTCTGTTGTTGTACTATAATTTCAACTGTTTTCTCATCAGTCATCATAGAATTACAGGTCAGTCCGTGATCAAAGTTCTCCCATTGCAGAAGCAATAAAAGTTCCACGTTTTTTTGGGAATCAAGATCCTCTCCTTGAGTTGTCTCCTTCACTCCCTACTTGTAGAGCTATTGAGTTCATTTTTGGGCCCAATTTCGATGATCTTAACCGTTCACATTTTAAAATTTATTGAGTATATTATACTTGTAAAAAATCAAGTTGATCGGATATCAAAAACTACATGTTCGAACTATCAAACTAAAAACTATTTTTTTTAAAATTTTAATAAACAGTTTTCCGAACACATGCTTTCTGATATCCGATCAATTCAATTTTTTACAGGTATGATATACTCAATAAATCTTAAAATATGAACGGTTCAGATTATTGAAATTGGGCCAAAAAATAGGCCCAATAGCCATGCAAGCAGAAAGTGAATGAGACAATTTAAGGAGATGATCTTGATTCGTTTTGTGGATGCCAAAAGTACAGTGATTAATTTTCAATTTACATTATTTTTTCATTCTTTTTTTTTTCTCTCATTATTTTCTTGTCTTTTGATTATCTTATTAAAATAAGTATTGTTAAAATGAAAATTCATGTTAATTTCACTCGTATATTTTTCAGGTGTTACTCTTTCAAAAACTATTCTAGTGATCTTCACTTGTTTGATATTTCAGATAATCAAGAGTTAGCCTTTTCAAAGTTTTTAATTAACGACTTGGCCAAAACCTTCCAAAAAGAACAAAACCAAATGTTACCAGGTAGAGATTGACATTTTTTTTTAGCTAGCTGTATTTATTATTTTTAAAGTTTTGTTTTTGTACTATAAAAAAAATGAGAAATTTATTAAGTATTTTTAGAGTATTACGTGTCCATATACTTTTACCAATCATCATTTATCATGTCTTCTTATTTTTCTCAATCACCTAATACAAAATTATAATATTCTATTTCTCTACCAATCATAATATATATTATAAAATATCACGTAATCACACTCTGAGACTACCCAATAACCACCTACAAAAATGAGATGAAAATGTTGAAACGGGATCCTATTCACTTGGTAAACTCTGATAGAGGTTTTTCCTTTATAATATGATCACTAAGTTTCGTTCATGCCTCGCATGTTGCTATTATGACTCATAGATTAAGTTCGGAGTTTTTGGTTTGCACGTGTGACCATTTGATTAGGATCTAAAACTTATGTTTTAATTGGTCCTTGGCGACATAATACGTAAGGAATGATCTCACAATCTCAACTATTATAAGGGAGTTCTGAAGCTTAAACTTAATTAATATAACTATGATTAGACCTTGTTTGGAGAGTATGTATTTTGAGTAAAAATTTAAAAAAAATCACTATAAATTGTCACATCGCTTTATCTATTTTTTTACACATTTTTTTAAATTATTCTTAAACGAGACCTTAATGTAGCAACCGTATAGCATTGAAATATATTTTGGAAATATATATTTTTTGGTGGCAAAATACTATTTTAATCAAATGGTCAACTAATTAATGATGGGTTTAGTGTTGTTGAAATGGACTAAAATGATGATTGTGAAGGGTTCACTATAAGGCCTGGCTTAGGATCCTTAAAATAATTTAAAAATTTATCACTATTTATCAAAAAAAAATATTAAAAAAATTAATTTTACACAAAATTAATTTTCAAACAGCTCTGACGTCCCACAAGCGCAACTAAGTTTTTGGAAAAATTGCACTGATTTAGCTGCACAAATAACACTGTGATTTTCGACCCATGGGGGCCATCACGGGTCCCGTTTTAATAATCTAAACCGTCAATATGCAGAACACGTCGAGTACTATAGACCTCTAAGAAATCACGTTGATCGGACATCCGTAACTATATGATCAAATCAGTTAAAATTTATAAAATAGATGGTGTTATAGTTAGCAGTTGAAAAAAAACTAATCCAATCAGATAGCTATCAATATTTGATCAACTTGATTTTTTACAAATATATAGTACTCGACAAGTTCTACACATCAAACGATTTTGATTAGCAAAACGGGACCCGTGGTAGGCCCACACAGGCCGAACAACACCTTCAATTCATTGTCCGAAAAGCAGAGAACCATCTCCCCTCCTACTCTGCACGCGTTGTCCCTCACCGTACAGCCTATTCCATCACAATCTTCTCCTATACACTAATTTATATAATTTTTTAATACACATTTTTTCGTAAAAAGTCAAAAAGTTATCCTAAACAACCATACTTTTTTCCTCAACTTTTTAGTCCAAAAAGTCAAAAAATACACTTATTTAAGACACCCTAAACAACCCCTAAATCTGAGCACATCATTGTATTTTTTGTGATCCATTTTGTGATTTAATTATGTGTATTTGGCCATTGTTGAAGGGACCTAGTATTATCATATGAAAAAAATTTCAGTATGCATTGTATATCGTATGTTGTCTTATCATAAAATTATATAAGTTTTTACAAATATAAGTAATCTCACAAAAATATATAAGTTGCATATAAATTTACATAAATCTTAAGTTTTCATCAATCTACGTAAATTTATATTTAATTTATACATTTTTATAATATCACTCATATAAATTTATAAAAAATTACGTAATTTTGTGATAGGATTACATAATGTAACATTTCCCTTATCATAAAATTAATCTCAAATACTTGTATTTATTTCTTGATTTCTTTTCTAAAGAGAATAATACGTCGTTTTCAAGGGACCTAGGCGTCAACGCTCGACAATTACCTTCCACCGTTTCATCCGCAAACCAGATTTTTATTTATTTTATTTTATTTTATTTTATTTATGAGAAAGCAAATGTGAAATGCCTTGAATTCAACGTTCTTTGCAATGTATGTGAAACTGAAAGGGATGCTGAAGTAAACATAGAATTCACACAAAATGGTCAAACATGTCCAAAATGCAGCATTTAACAAGTCCAAACCGTTGACATTAGATTTTTTCAAAATTGATATTAATATACCAAAAAGAAAATATTACATATAATCAGATGTCTTACTTTTTTTTTTTTTTTTTTTTTGTTAAATAGAGATGTGTGGGTTCCATATATATTTATTAACGTAGACTATTATTTTGGATTTATGGGTGAAAAATAAAATTATAAATAGTATTGCTCATACATAAAATTTAAAAAAATTAGTATATCTAGGTCTCACATAATGTGAAATTCACTGCTCTAATTTTTTCAATACATTGAAAAGTTAAAGAAATGCATTCTTTATTTTCTAACATTGTTTGACTTGGTCTATGTGTGTTTATATGTTTTCATTGATGTATAAACATGGTAGTTATCTTTCTGAAACTACACGATATGTCTTCCAAAGTCAAACAATAAAATTGAAAATGAAACTATATTCTCAGCAATAAAAATCGAATTTTCACATCACAACTATTAAAAAAGCGTTCAATTACTAGGCCAGCCAACATTTGGTTACTGCTATATGATTTCTAATTGCATGAGAGACAGAGAGTGATGAACTAAAGCTATACTTAAATGGGTGGACACAAAAATTATAAAATTACCTGAACTTTGATGGGTTATTGGAGATAGCTTTAGATCTCTCAGAAATGGAAGCAGGGTCGGTTTGAAGGAGAAGATACTCAAGCTCACCCTTATCGCCATTGAAGCCAATATTTTTGCAGCCATAACCAAAAGGACTTGGTGGCCCTGCTCTTTGCTTCTCCGAACTCCTTTTGGCAAAAAAGTCAGAGGCTTCTTTTTCCACACTGGAAATGATCTCCTTGGGAACACCATGGTTCACCACCTTGAAGAAACCATATTCTTCACAAGCTTGTACAATTTTCTGGCTCAACACAGACCTCTCCAGAGAGAGATCAATGATGGGAATTCCCACAGCCCTCGTCTTTTTGGTTCGTAACGAAGGAGTTGGAGATGGAACAACCATAATTTAATTTAAAATTTTTAGTAAAGGATAATAGTAGTGGATGTGGTAAAAGAAGGAATTATCTTATGGAAGCTAGATAGGAGGAATGAAATGGAAGAGAGAATTTAATGTTTGGAGTTTGAACTGTGAACTCTGAAGGGTTAACATGGTTGAGGACGCGGTATTATATACACCAGCGAGGGAGACCTTAGATACTTTCAGGGATTTTTTTAGAACTTTCAGGGATTTTTTTTTTTTTTTTAAAAAAAATTGATTTTTTTCATAATTATTATTTTTTTAATATGTGGGCCATCTCTTTTATCAAAATGATAACACTTTAGTTAGAGCACGCACAGGTTTCATCAACTACGCATATAATATCGTGTATCAGTTTTATTTTTGAGGAATTATAGAATGTTTCTGGACTAACATGCATCCGTATTTTTCAATTAATTATTATTTAACATATTTTTTTATATTTTTCAATCACTCATTACAATATTTTATTTATTCACTTTTTTCACTAATCACAATATTATGAAATACTACACATCTATATTTCGAAATTACTGAATAATTATCTTTTATTTTTGGACAAGTATTATTCAAATCATCATATGGTAGTACTTATGTAGTGTCTAATAAAATTTTTTACCAATAGAATATATTGATTAATTTTTGTTAGGTAGATAAAAAATCAAAAATGATTTAGTTGTGTGTATTGTAATTTCTTATTTATTGAGAGTATCACCACGTAAACAATTTTACACAAAATATTACTATTCTAGTCCAAAAGTTAGCCCAAATGAAGAAAAATGATATATAAGCACACTTTGTTAAACCTAATGATGAGTAAGTGATATGATTTGTTGATAATTAGAGAAGATATAAGAAAGAGTATTGCCTTTAATATCCTAATTGATTGTCACATCATTAGATTTGAAAATTGAATCTAATTTTTAAAAAATGTTAGGGACCTCAAATGTTTTACCAAATGTTTCACATGAGCATCAATTCACACCATGTGGATCCCACATCAATGTGAGACATTTGATAGAACATTTGGGATCTTTAGCATTACTTTTAATTTTTTTTGTCTTAAATAGCAATGCTCTAATTAGAATATCTAAAACAACTCTCTCTCTCTCTCTCTCATGTCTTCTTAAATCATTCGTCAATCATCTCTCTTACACATCATTGAATTTAGAAAATAAATTTATAAAGTGAACTTGTATATTAATTTTTTTTTTCCTTTCACATATGGGTTTGAGAGTGTCTAATAAATTTTCAATCTCAATATAGATATACAAAATAAATATCATGTTTACTTGTATGTCTCACTACATCTACAAAATAATTTTGATCATACATATATATATATATGAATTTAGTGATTTTTCATTATTATTTCCTTTGTACATAAAATCGATTAAAGAGATGGGAAAAAAAAAGGTAATTTTTCACGTAAGTTAAAACTAACTCGTAACTTTACTTGTGTCATGTCAATGTTGTCATTATATAATGTTAGAATAAGAATTAATACTATGTTTTAGTATATTAGAATGAATCATTCTATTAAAATATTTATTCTCACGGGAGTATTAATTTTGTTTAAGTATTGGGGATTTATAAAAAAAGGTAGGATGCTTGTCTCCAGTTTAATTTATGAACTGGACTGTATTGTTAGGTCTGTGAAACCTATCACAAGTTTCATTTCGATATCCAAACCGTTCCATATGTAGAGTTCGTCGAGTACTTCATTTTCGTAAAAAATTATGTTAATTGGATATCGATAACCTCTTGATCAGATCATATTTTTGTCAGCAATTTATTTTTAGGAAAATGTGTTGAACCCCCTCAATGAGCCACCCCTTTGACCCCCTCTGTTTTTGATTGGTCAGTTTTTCTTTTTTCTTTTTCTTTTTTTCCTTCTCCTCCAATCACCACCAGCCACGTGTGTGTGGGGGGTGATGGGGGTGTTGATTGGAGGGGGTCTCAATCACTTAAAATCATATTTACTATTGAAAAAAGTATAATCTGATAAATAGGCTATCGACGTCCAATCAACGAGATTTTTTGCATGGATGAAATACTCGACAAGGGGTGACCATTGGTTCAATGGTTAAGACTTAGTCTAATAACCTTAAGGTTATGGGTTCAAGTCATAGGATCATTACTTTGTGCATTATGTCAAAAATTAGGTGTATACTTAATCTTTTCTCTCCTAAACACACATTAATAAGTACTAATTAAACATTATTTTATGAAATACTTAACTAATTCTATATATTAAACCATTCGAATAATCAAAATAGAAACTTTGGTAAGTTCAACAACATTATTCAGTCCAATCCTGTTCCAAAAAGTACGAATCTCATTTTTAACGTGTTGTTGACCAAACAAGTCCTCGGAATGAGTTAAATGAAGTCGACATATGATGAATGAAAAATTAAATAAATAAGCTCGAAATGGAATGAAAAGTAGAAAAAAGTAGTGAAAAGCAAACAGGCGGGCAATTAAAGATGGTATTAGGTAGAGAGGAAATAAGAAGGTAGTTGGGGGCTAACAACAACACTAGTTGGGAGAGGGAGGGAGGAGGAAGAAGTTAGCGGCTGTTTGTCCCCTGTCTCTCTCCTTGGATCCTGTATCCTAACCCAACCCCCCATTTCTAATCTCTCTCTGTGCGTGTGGCTTTCAAAAGACTGACTTGGTCGGCCGATTTCCACTAGTGTTCTTCACTTTTTTTATTTCCTTTTTGAAGAGCTTTGTCTCCTATTGAGTTTCTCAATTCGACCATGATGTTGGTTCACCATCATACCAATTAATATGATTACATGAATAATTTACTTAGTTAACTTTATAAGATTAACTGTTCAAATCGTAAAAGTGATTAAGAAATAATAATATTATTGTGCCTTATGTCACCCAATTTTGAATAACGAAAATTATTTTACTTGTTCATCGATTTTATATTACATATTTAAAAATTTGGTTTCAGTTTTCTAAATTTAATTTTTTGAAAATTGAATTTTTTTGTTTTTTATATTTTTTTATTTTTAGTAAATATTTTTAAAATTTTAAATAATTTTTTCACTTTTTTAAATGCACCTTCCTTAGATGTATCTAAATAATAAAATATTTGTGAAAAAATATTTTAAAGAAATAATAAATATACAAAAAATGTATTAAATTTTTGTATTTTTAGTATTTAGTGAACTTTTTAAAGATTTTATATATATATATATATATATTATACTTTTTAAGTGTATTTATGTTAGGTATATTCAAAAATTTTAAAAAAAAAATTACTTAAAATATTTAAAAAATTCATTGAAAACAAAAAAAAATATACAAAATAAAAATGTAGAATTTTCTGATAAGTGTTTTCTGAAAACAAAAACCAAACAACCTAGATATGTAATAACTATTTTTTTTTTTTTTTCTAAATGGTGAATTTAATATGTACAATTACTTTTTGTGTGAGTTGATGTAGGAGGTGAAAAAAATTAATAAAATTCATCCAATGATATATAGTAAATCCCTTTAAATAATGGTGAGACGCAATTATGTTAATTAAATTATCACCAATATATTTCACTGATCAAGCTGACCAAACTATTGGCTCAAAATTTTGGCTTTTGTTTTTGCCCTCCTTGTTATGTACTTGACATATTTTATCTTTTTAACTTGGATGATAAGCGTGGCTTCAATTATTGGCTACAAATTTGAAAGAATTCAATAGATAAAATCCAATAAATAATAATCTTTTGATCGGTGTATGAAATTTTCCATCCTTAAAATTTTGAATAAATTATAAATACACCACTGAGATTTGATTAAAATACGAATTATCTCTTATAGTTTTGGAAATTACATTCCACCCCCTGAAATTTTTAATTTCGTAACAAGTTGCCTCTTTTATTAATAAATCATGATATCAATTAAAAGTTTTTAGTGATATTAGAAATATGCTTCAATTAATAATTTAGGTAGTTTTATTATTGTATTATAGAGTAATTATGAATTTCACTTTTTTAGTTAATTCTGTTAAATAAAAAATTCTGACAATAGGATATTTGTAATTTTCGAAACCACATGAGGCAATCTGTACTTTAAACAAACCTCAAGGGTGTATTTATAATTTATCCTAAAATTTTCTATTTTTTGTCTCTTGACATTTATTGACAATAAATCATATTTTGAAATTTTTACATTTCGAAATACTTATATGATTTTAATATCCAATACTTGTGTGAATATTATGGGACAAAGACACAAAAATATTTACGAACAAACGATGCTTAGCTTTGAGAAGCATCTCGCAAAAAAAAATGGAAAAACAAAATGACAACAAAATTATTATGTACACACTTTTACAAGCCATCAAAAGATGGTTTACAAATTACAATTAATCTGTAGGTGTTGGGATGTACAGCAAAGTGCTTACATGCCTGTAAACTTGTGATTAAACTGTTATCATCCATTTTCATCAACTTTAATGTCTCACACGTGAGTCCAATGACGGTGGATTTAAATATACTTTTTATCATATTCTCGAGGCTTTCAATTTCCTAATTAGGATATTTTGATACTTTGATGATGATAAGATTAACAATATTGTTATATTGAATAATGTTTGAGAGAGTTCTAATGTAACTCTAATGATGTGAAAAGTGTTCATGTGAAGGTAGGATTTACACTCCTCTTTCTATCTCTCTCTGTTCTACTTTATTAGAGTTTAATTTAGAATTCTAATATTAAAGCTATATATTATTACTATTGTTATATAAATACAAAAATTATATATAAAATTAATACACATTAACAATTTAGCGAGTTGTTTAAAATTTTAAAGCAAAAGACCCATAAAAAATGAGCTATAATTTTAAAAAAAAATGCAATTGTCAGGTTATTTAACAAAATCAACAAACAATCGGTCATTTATGGACTGAAGTGGCTAAGTGAGCTTGTACCATGGATCTAAATTTGAACTAGTTTATTTTGTTAGATTTTATGTACAAATTATTTTTAAAATTAAATGTTGATCTAAATAATTTTAACAATATGATTTTATCAAATTTATTTTCTTTTTAAAATTATACTTTTCATTCATCTTTTTTAAAATAAATATAATAAAATGATATGTTTACAAT